AAAAAAAAAAACCCCAAAACTAAATATGCATCCATTTAGCTATAAGTGTCTCTAGTTTCTTGTTCTTTATGGCTGAGTAGTACTCCATTTTATGTATACTTTCAAATAAACACAGACTTATGTTTATCTGCAACCAAACCCATCAGTCTTCTCCTTTTTTTCCTGTGGTCCTTCTTTTGCCCTTGTCCTTAGAATATCTCTCCTCCCTCTAAGACAAGCTGTATTTCCACCTATTTCCCTTTTCAAGGCTTTTAAAAATTGTTATGTATTTTAGCTGTAAGTGTTTAATCAATCTGACATTGACTTTGGTACATGCTTTAAAATGAAGATTGAAGTTCATTTCTTCTACATAGCTACTGTCTCGTGGTGGTTCGTACTTCTGTCTTTACCACATCTGACCTCATCCATGCCTCTCCTTCCACATCCCACACATATGTTCCCTTGTCTGCCACAGCCCTCCCTTGCCTGTCATCTCTGGTTTGCACCAATACTCTCCTGACAGCTTCCTAACGTATAACTTGTTAGCATCATGCGCTTGTCTCCGAAACCTGGAAAAAGCCAAAGTGTACCAGTCAAAGCTCCCTGCTCAGCTTTCCAAGGTTATCTGGGATTAAGTTTATCACTGTAATTACTTTGAGATAACTACCAATCATTCTAATTGTGAAATCTTTAATGTCCCAGGAAAGTGGCTGCTCATGGAGAGCAGTTCTAGGAACATGTGCACCCAGTCTATCATTTGCCTTCACTTTCACAGGCATTTCCAGTCAGAGTAGTCAGGTCAGTGGATTTACCGATGCTTTCAATCAAAGCAAGTCAATCATATTGTCCAAAAGTCATTTCAGACAACCTAACCTGGTCTGGGAAATCTTCCTGCCAAATGCCACCTGTGTCTGATCATTACTTCAGTTCCCCATTTGTTGCTCCACATGCATTCAGCTGGCACTAAATTTCAGGCATTTATTACCTTTTGTTCCTTTTCAAATGACCCATATGTATCTTTGCATGCCCCATTTTAAAGGACCAGAGAGCAGGAAGAAAGCATATGGATCATTTAGCCTTGACCTTTAGTTTGCAACGGAGGCAGCTGAATCTAGAGAAGTGTTGTGACTTGAGCAGATCTTGCACCTCCCCACCGTGTCTTTCCTCCCTTGCGTGCCAGCCTCCCTCTGGGTTCTGACTGTGGCTCCTTCCTTCTCCCTCTTCAGTCTTTTCCTGGTGATATCCCCCAACAGCCACTCATAATTCCAAATGGACTCCCCCCTCTTGACCTCTACCCTGAGCTCTGAATTGGTGTCTTTGCCTCCTCTGTCAGCATCTTCACTGGTTTGTCCTAGAAGACTCTGAAAATGGAGCCATTATTCCCCTCTGCCACCTGCTCTGCTCCTGCCCTATTCTTCTCAGCAAAGCCACCATCATCCACCAAATGACCCTGGGTGGAAGTGATCCCTAACTCCTGTTTCTTTCTCAACCCACATCCAATCAAGGTTCTGAAGTCTCCATTCCCTCCTCTTTCCACTCTTCCTATGTCACTTAACTTCCTGTGCAGGGATTCTGGCCCAAACTCCATTGCATCTCATTGGGATTTGGCAACAGATTCCCAAATGGGTTCCACATCTCCAGGCCACTTGCTACACTGCAGCCTGAGCCATCAGAGAAGACAAGACTTTGCTCCACTCCCTGAATTCAGATCCTTTGGAAGTTTCTGAGGTCCAAGGCCTGTTAAACGGCTCTCCGTGGAGCATTTGCTGTCCTTCTCTCCACCCACTTGCCACCCCCCAGCATCTTTTCCTGATTTCCCCATACCTACAAAGCTTAGCACGAGCATCCATCGAACACCTTCCCTCCTTCTTCTGCTTACTCCTACAGTTTGTCCTTCTCAGCCGGGGGCTCCTGGAGGCCATTCCTGTGCCTTCTTCACTAAGCCATTACCTTGCTCTGGCCTGGGGTTCTGGGGAAAACTCCTCAGTATTTATGAGACCACTTAATCTAGATCTAGGGCTCTATTATTAGGTTATGGCCATTACTCTAAAGCGAAGAAGGACGAGGCCACCTAGTGTGGCTTTTGCCCCAATTCTCTTTCCTCAACAAGGTCCTAGAGTGCCCCGTGGCTTTCCCGGTGGTGGGGGAAATTGTTCACTCTGGTCTGTCCCTTCCTGCTCTCAGGGCTTATACAGACCTTGACCTATGGCTTTGCCCGGCCTCAGGCGCCCCAGCACTCTGCGGATGGCAGTGGTGATCTCTTGGTTGCGCAGGCTGTAGATAAGTGGGTAGAGCAGCGGCGTGACGTTGGTGTAGACTAGCGCCAAGGTGCGGTCCAGCCGCGGGGAGTAGGTGGCCTTGGGCCGCACGTACATGAAGGTGGCGCAGCCGTAGTGCAGGAAGGTGACCGCCAGGTGCGAGGTGCAGGTGGAGGCGGCCTTGCGGCGGCCCCCGGAAGAGCGCAGGGAGCGCAGGGTTGCGGCGATGGCCCCGTAGGAGGCCAGGATGAACATGGAGGGCAGCAGCAACAGCACCAGGCAGGCACCCAGCAGCGGCAGCTCGTCGGCATAGCTCCGGGTGCAGGCCAGGTGCAGCAGCGCAGTGATGTCGCAGAAGAAATGCACCAGCAGGTGGGAACCGCAGAAGGGCAGGTGGAAGACGGCCACCGTGAGCCCCAGCGACACTGCCAGGCCCCCGAGGCAGCAGGCCAGGGCCAGTCGGGCGCAGAGCCCAGGGGTCACCACAGCCGCATAGCGCAGTGGGTGGCAGATGGCCACGTAGCGATCATAGGCCATCGCGGCCAGCAGGAAGCACTCTGCCCCGCCCAGTGCCACGAACATCTGCATTTGAACGGCACAGCCCAGGAAGGAGATGGGGCTGCCCCTGGTGTGGCCCGGCATGGTCAGGTCAGCCAGTGAGCGGGGCACCACCACCAGTGTGTAGCAGAACTCGATGACCGAGAGCTGGCACAAGAAGAGCAGCATGGGCGGCCGGCTGGGCACTGAGGCCACAGCCACCAGGATGAGCAGGTTCCCACTGAGGGTGGTCAGGTGTACGGTCAGCAGCAGCAGGAAGAGCACAGGCTTCAGCTGTGGGAACTCGAAGAAGCCTTGAAGGAGAAAGCCTCGGGGCAGGGTGGTGTTGCTGGGACTGTCCATGTGCTGCCTTCCACGAAGCACCTGTGGGGAAAAGAGGGAGAGGTGCGGTGACGGTGTGGAACCTTTGGCCCTGCCAGCTGAGGACTCATGTGCAGGTGTAATTTAGAGAATGAATGAGCTGGCACTGGTGGCTGCAGAGGAGGCGGATGGTTTTTGGGTCGATTCCCAGCACCCTGACCAGGAGGAAAATCTTCCTGACTTACTCAGAAAAAAATGGTGCAGCTTTTCCTCCCTCTGGGATTAGAATCTGGATAGCTGCTTTCTCAACTTGCACTTGCCAAAGAAACCTTGACTGGAGCCCCGTACCCTGCAGGGCTCACTCCTGACCCCCCCTTACACACAATTCACACTGTCCATACTCCTGCAGGCTCTGTGTGACCTGAGTGTTATGCCCTCCTCTGCCTAAGCCCCTCTCTCAAGATAGGAAGTGTGAAAGTCATCTCTGCTTCTCCACCATGCTCCCTACCCTACCCTGTCATTCCTGAGCCACCTTCAGTGGTGCATCACAGAACCACTAAAATGTGATGCAGATGAGGCCCTTTGAGAGCATCTCATACAACTTAGTAATCTAAGGAGGAAACTAACGTTGGAACTGCAATGGGGACTCTGAAGAGTGTGACTGCTCACAGGAAGTGAGGAACAGATTCTGAATTCCTGAGGCCAAGCCCAGAACTTTCCATAACCTAGCTGAGATTCTGGAAAAGAGCCACCAGGGTCCACCAGACAATCCAGATTCATTTAGCCTTAAACCGAGGCCCAGGTCTGAGGCAGGAACATTCAGGCAGCTGCGCTGCTTTGTGGGAGGCCTTGCCAGGCACATCAGTAATAAAACATCCTTGACATTTTGATTAAAAATACTCTGTCAACAGGAGAAAAGGTGATGTGTGACTGATCTAACTTGCCTTTCAGAGTGAGCGGTATCTTCTGAGTTGGCCAGTGGAACACAGTTTCTTTCTAAGCATGAGCCAGTGGCTCACTGCAGGCCACACTTGGACAGTATCAGCAGCCTGCAGATCCACCAGACTTACCTGAATCCTCTGGAAAGGAGCAGATAAGAGGCAGTGAGATTGAAGGCCACGTGAACTGGAGGAGGAGGAGGTTTGATTTTTCCACTAGACAGTGATGCCCTCTCTTTTTATTTCCCTATCTCTTTTAAAAATTTTTTTTCCCTTATCTCTTTTTTAAGCTTAACTATTATCTTCCCTTAGAATCAGTTTGTAATCAATACTGGAAGTACAGTTTGTCCATAGCTGTTATACCATAGAGGGCAAGAGTAGTTTCGCTGGGTCAGAGGGCAACAGGTGAACTGGATGAAAGAATTAGAAAGAATGCCAATAGGTTGGCATTTGTTAGCTAATGCTCACTTTGGAGGGTTTTTATTTATCAGTGTTACTGTTTGCTATTTCTTGTTGCATCTGAACAGAGCAGCTTTCAAACAGATAAAAGGCAGTGTGGAACCTGGGATGAATAAAGAGCCCTCTTTATTTTTGGTGGGGGTAGTACTCTATGTGTTGAGTACATTTAACAAGCCTGGCTTGGGTGCCTTCTTGGCTATGTGCTGGCTTTAGGTGCAAATGAGAGAGAGGAGGCCTTGCTGTCCTGGGGGTTTGGGCGGCAGTGCCCAACATGGCTCCCCACCCACTGTAGCTCCTCATTCTTTTTCCTTTTCATCTCTTTAGAGCAGCTTGGTGGGGTCGGGTGCAGGGGGAGAGACACAAGCAATGCAGTTCTTTGCCTTCATGTTCCTGCTGCCCAGCGATTTGGATGATGAGAAAGGCTGGGTGATGGCCTTCGTATCTCGGGGCTCAAGGAAGATCATGCTTGAAAAGCAAGGCTATGTAAAACAAGGCAAAGGGGTTAATTCACTTGAAGAAGAATATTTCTGCTTGGCTTAGTTTTTAGGAGGAATTGTTTCAAACTGTAAGAATGCATGGTAGGGAGAAGGACAATAGATATTTTCAAAGCTTCAATAACTCAAATCTGGTTCTCCCTAGCAGAAGATGATGTAGAGAGAGAAGAAAACACTACAAGGCCTGCCTGCACCACCCTCCTCTCCCTGGGACAAAGGATAGATTTATTTCTTCTTCCAGGGGATTAATAACATCAGCAATAATAAACAACATTTAATGGGCCGGGGATTTAGCTCAGTGATTCTGGCGCCTGCCTCACAAGCGCAAGGTCCCAGGTTCAATCCCTGATACCAAAAAAACCCAAACAACAACAACAACACTTAAGAGCATGCCAGGAAATAGTGGTAAATCTAGATTTCCACCCAAGCAATCTAACCCCTGATAATCTGTGCTCTTACCCACTATGTAGTCTCCTTTATTTTTAAGTCTCCCCCAAAGTCCCCCCATATGAGACACATCCTGCCTATATCTTCCACCTTCCCCAAACTAGAAATCAGCCACAATCTGCTCACCATTTCTCTCCTCAGATTTCCCTTAACTGTCATTTTTCTTGAAAACATGGATGTGAAGGGTAATGCAGATAATCTACGATAGTAAATCTAAAAATAATTTCTCTTTAGATGTGACATTCATCACTGCTCTTGCTATTGTTCGGGCAGATTCACTTTTCTAATTGTGTGGGGCTCCATGGAGCACACAGAGTCACGGCTGGCTGGTGGCCCAGGACATCTGGACTTGGCTGGAAGCCTCAATGGGCTGGAAATGCATATCTGGGACTCGATTTTAGCGGTGTAGAGAAATTAAACCGATCTTTCATAATGATATTGTTGCCGGTCATCTCAAGAGTCAATCAAAACACTGAAAAGGGGCTGAGAATGGAAGATGTGCCAGACAGACAGGTCAAGCCCCAAGTCCCATAGAACAGTGAACTGGAAAGGGCCATAGAGCTCTCACTGCATAGCAAGTGAAGCCCAGACAGGTCACTGACTGACCAGCCTGGTCTCTGGCTGCTGTCAGTTGGCAGAACTGGACTAGAGCCAGTTGTCACCTTTCCTGCTCAAGAGTGCTATTTTTGCAATCCCTGTCTTCCAAGTGGACCTGAACCTATTGCCTATCTACTATTATGGATTATAGTCTACAGAAAGTGTTAAGAAAAGTTAAAGCTTTATTTTTGTCCTGTGTTGTTAAACTTAGGAGGAGATCTATCTATCTACCTATCTATCTGGGTTTATATATATATCTGGGATATATATATATATTTATATATATATTTATATATATCTGGGTTTCCTAACTTCACTTAGTAATCTCTTAAGGGTCTCTGGTCTATGGATTTTTATAAATTATAATGCAACCCAGTTTTTAATTCAGTGTTTTTTTTTAAAGGACTAACACTACACACTTAAAAATGATACTTTTGTTTCTTAGCTATAATTCTTGTTAAGGAGAAAGAGTCCACCCAGTTTAAATTTTGCCCTGTGTTTTCGGAATGCTTGATCTTGTTAACTCTCCCAAAGGATCAGACTCCCTGCTGTTTAATGGGGATAATAAAAGAGGGTCTTGATGAGAATTCTGGGAGAGAATTTGAAAAAGTTTCTAGAATAGACCCAGCACGTAGTACACAAGAATACTGCAACCATTCTTATTGTGCTTTATACTTGACAGGTTTGGGCTGTACTTTCTCTGATCTGTACCTTTCCATCTTGGAAACCTCCTTACCCCTTGATGAGGTTGCTTCAAGTGATTTCCTAGTGTTTTTGCTACCTTTCTAAGGTCCCGAGGCAGAGGTATCCTTGTCTGCTGGTGTGGGAACCTCATGGGAAGACAAACACACACAGATGAAGAAGTCTTCCCTCCTTTCTTCCCTCCATCCCTCCTTTCCTTCTTTCCTCCCTTCTTCTCTCCCTTTCTCCTCTCTCCCATTTTCCTTCTATCTCTGTATCTCTCTCTATCTTTCCATATTTTTTTCCTGTCAGGATTTCTGCACAGACTGTAGAAGAATATCTCTGGATTCAATTCTGGCTCAACAACTTAGAAGCCCCATGGGCTTAGTTGATGTACTCATTTTTCTTGATCCTTAATTTTTTAATATTTAAATAGAGACAATGATGTTGATGTGTAGGATTGTGGGGGAGAATTAGACATATTGCAAAGAAAATCCATGACACAGTACTAGGCACAAAGAAAATAACAAAAGCTTGTTACTGACTATATCATGGTATAATCCTGTCTTCTATCACGTCACATTAGCCTTTGGGCTCCATCCGCTTAGAAGCTGGCAACTCCTTTGCTAATCCTACAAACTTTACCTCAGTTCATGACAGATAAGTTGGAACTCATGAATTTATATATGTTTGCATTATTCTAGATTTCAATTTAGGGTTTTCTGAAATAAAATCCTTTGAATTAAAACTCATGTATCATTTTTGTTTGTTTGTTTTGCTTTGTCACATCCACAGCATTTAAAATGCTTTTTTGTCCTCAGTTTGGTAATTTCTTTACTCAGAGGAGCTAAATATCATTTCTGAATGTAGCAGTTTCACTGTGTACTCCCTCTTCCAGCCATTTACAATCTCAGCCTGGATCCCTGAGTAATGTACTATTTGCCTACATGGTGTTTAAATACTTGATGGCTAAATTTGGTCTGTTATCTTGTCAAAGAGTTTTGAAACTCTAAATAAAAGAAATCCTCTGTTAGTTTCTTATTGACATCTTCATCCCCTAAAAGCATCTAAGTGGATTTAGTAAGGAAAGTTTTCCCTACACTTAATAAGGAATGTTTTCCTTGCATGAACGTTCTTGTCTTCCCCCCTTATGGTGTGTTTTGAAGTACTGAGGGGCCCCTACCTGTCATACAGACAAAGTGGCCTGGATACTTCCTGTGTCTGCTCTGCCGTCCTTTTTTAAAGTGAAGCTATATGGGCTCCCTCACAGTGCCCTTCCTCTGGTAAGTGTGCTACTGTGAGTTTTGCATTTGGATCAGCACTTGGCCCTCAAGTTTCCTGACAAGTAAGACTGGCCAGTTCTTTCAATGCGTGCACTTGTGCTTCAAGCTCCCATTCTTGGCCCTGTTGTTTCTCTTTTCTCCAA